AGTGAAAGTATCAAAGTAATGGAGATTGAGCTCCATTCTGCGAAAACCAGCCGAAGAAACCAGGAAGTGAAGGTGGGAAGCACTCTTCAATAGGAACGGTACATTTTTTGCAGCACTACTTCGCAAATATAGGATAAGGACGAGTGCTACAGCAAACTGTAGACGAAGCCAAATGTGCCCTTTTCTGATGAAAGATAACATGGTGCAAGCTTCTGATCTAATGGTCTTTAGTCCCATCCATCCCATATCTGTACAATGGTGGGAAGCACACTATCGTCACGATCCGATAGTTTATCGAGAATTGTAGAGAAACGTTCGGCTCCTGCTACCGACATCCCGGAAGAAACCTGGCCGGTGGTCTAATGGTCTGTTGCAGTGAGATCTTAGCCTGCAGAACCATAAAAATGAGGTTACATTCGCTGCAAGACGCTGGTAGGATAGACTTGTAGCTGTACAAATCTGAAGAAGGTCAGGAAGGAAAATCTAGGTCATAGTCTTGCACCCACTAATACATCTCACTATTGGCGCGGAAGAAGGTTAAAGGTTGGTGGCGGGAGAACCTGAGGATTACCAGGTAAGAAAATCCAAAAGCATGGTAATCTAGGACAAACGACACTAATAACATTTCGGCGATAGCTCCAGTGGCAGGGAGATGACTTACCTTTCACTATGCAGTAGCTGAAAATATGTCATTTGCAAGGAAAAAAATCTTTTTCTGGGCTACCGTTCACCCAATTTGTGCAAACTACATAAATGCTCGGAAGCAGGGAAGATCAAATCGGTGAAGGCAGCAATATGATTGCAAGTCAGCCTTCTTCACAGGCTCACTCCAGCTCTTTTATCCAAAATCATGTAAAACAATGATGATTATGTGATGACCAAAGTCTGACTTCTAGCATCATCACCCAGCGCTGATGATGGTAAGGAGCAAAACGCGTACCAAATATTAGTTCGAATGCAAAAACATCAATTCAATCTACAAGATGGGAACAATTTGAGTATAGAAAACCTAGGGTAACTCTTACTGACACGTGCTATTCAGTGGCACTAGACAGGTTCCTTCTCAAAATTGTTATATGCCTACTGAATCAGACCTAAGAAGTCAACCTCAACCGGTCGGACTGCCACTTATAGTATGAAAAATGTTTTAGAAGATGGACACTCATACCTTGACAGCACAGAGGAACTCCTGTGCTCTTTCCGAGCCAAATGAGGGAGTTGCAACACATGCGTAAATTAGTGGACATGGACCATCTAACGATACGTTGTAATGAAGAATGAATCTGAAAAAGATCAATAGGGGAAAATTGCTGTTGAAAAAAGGGAAAGTTAAGAATGGGCGATGAAAAGCTCAATTCTTTACGAACCCTTCCAATTCAATATCTCCATGGTTGTTGAAGTAATCACGAACACGTTTTTCTATGATTTTCGTCACCTGAACAAAGCCAGTGTATAGCATGAAGTCCAACTTGTCTCAAAAATTCATTCACAAACAGGGATGGCTGAAGTTGCAATTACATATCATCTATTCTTAGATTAAGATGTCTACTGTAGAGTAAATTCTTCAGAAACGTCAGTTGTTCCAATGACGTATCCATAACTCCTGAGCTGGTTTGAAATCTAAGCTGACAAAGAAAAAAATGACGGCTCAATTTACCGAATACTCCGAAGGAATAAGTGGATCCTGCGATGACTGTGGAACATCTAGTTCACATCCTCCAATCACAATGACTCCTCCAGAGACTGACGGTTTACATAGTATTGCTCTTACAATAGGTGTTGGGCCCGCCAGACTGCAAACTTTTTAGATCAGTGGGCCCTCTGCCACCATCCGACAAGAAACTTATTTTTCAACGAAAAGCGACCAGGGTTTAGACCACAACAGGAGCCCGTTTTCTCAACATGATATGGATCAACTCATAGATCATAGTCACTCGTTGTCAAGGCCATCAGCTATCAGGGACAGTATGGTCGCACTTGCACCCGTACAATTACCAACATTTAGATGGGAACACACCCTGCTATAAAAAAAATTTGAAGGAATCTGCGCTGAGAACTACTCGGGAGCACAACCGCTACAACCGCTCAGCACGCCTACTACAACTTTCCCTTGTTAGTTATTCTAATCCCTTTCCAGCTAACTATTAAACAGCAGGAACCCTTCTTCACTAGTGGGCACTCTAATATCGGCTAAGGCTAATACCACATTAATTTTATTTTAAGTATAGCCTATTGTAGTCCACAGTACTCTACTATGCGAGATACCTTCGAAGACTAACCACTTTGCATGCATTAAGTAAGGCCCGATGAAATCCAGCACTGTTTTGCGCCTCTGCATGCGAGGCCAGTTTTATGTGGACCACAAACTCTAACAACCAGTCCTTGTTTGCGATGACACTACACTAGGGAATAAACGAGTCAACTGATCACTTCTGCGGAAGATCTCAGTATCCAAAGCAATACTCCCAGCACCTCGTCCTGAACCGGTTTTACCAACTGCTGCTATTTTACCACAGATGCTCGTAGAGCACAAGTACGGGTTCAAGTCCCGTTAGAGGCCAAAATTTCGTCCATACCTCACCTTGTAAGACTCCCAGCACCCTTTTTCAACATTTCACACTCCCTGCACAGAGTACATTCCACAGTTACCTAATAGAAGTCGGAAATCAAAATTTGGAATTAGCTTCAACCGATATCACGGTTCTGTAAGGTTGCTGAGCCAAACTCGTAGATGCATGATGACACCTTTAACAAACACATGAAAGAAACGCAACGTACAATATATACACATCGTATTTACACCGAAAATTACAAATCTTCTAAAAAAAAGTAGGCAGGTCGAAAGCAAATGGTATACACGACGAACCAAAACGCATTGTACACGAAGCAATTATGATAACGTCAATAAATGAGGCACAAAACAAAAATAAAGAGCTCCCGAGAAAATAAACCTAAAACGGCGACAACGGGTTCGAGTATAAAGAAATCCGCCTCCAAGTTACATAAATGTGGGAACGTGAATAAAGTGAGAGCCTCACGGCGTCGACTAGCTCTCCGATAACTAGGTAAAGACAAAGAAAAACGAACTAGATCAAATGAAGTGTTCCGAGTGTATTGACCCGCATAAAGCGGAAAGACAAGATCCTAAAACCGGGAGCAGGAACTTGACGCAGACGAGCGACAACCGTAATGTTATGTTAACGACGTGGAAAAAACCTCTTCTTCACAGAAGGACAAGAACTCGTGCATGAACCATGGTGTTCAGCCCAAATAGGAAGACAAAAAGCTAGTTTATCATCAGGTCACGAATGTACCTGCGCATACCAGTGAGACCAGATTGTGACGTTGTTTCTGAAATTAAGATAGTATAAATAGGCAAAGTAGCAAACTACAAGAACCGCACATCCCATAGGGTTGCCTTTATACAAAAGCTGAAAAATTGCTAATATATAGTTCTTGGAATCATCCCGATTGTTTATCATCTTCCTCCGAGAATTTCCTTCCTTACCGCGAAGGGCCACTTCTGACTATGACGTAGAGCAAACTTTTAACTAACGAAAGTTTCCTGAGTAAACATCACACCAACCTGGTCGGATAGGTACGCGGCATACTTTGAACAAGTAGGGCTGGCAGTCAGAAAGATTGGAATCGAATACGTTGGATAGTTCAGTTCTTGTAGGCATTTTCGGCAAATACTGAGGCCTGTTTATAGAACTGCAGAGCTGTAGAACGATCTCGCCAACGCTTTCGGCAACAGAGACTCGCATACGAGCGAGATCATCTGAAACATTACAACTGAGCTTCTTATGCTAAGACAACAAAGAACGCTTTGTTAAGCTTCATATCACTGTCATGAAAAAAATGTGCAGATATCACATCATTACATTCTTATTTCTCGGATTGACGACCGACCAAAGAACTAGCGAAATGGATGCAAATAAACAAGCGAGGTCGAATATGGCGCTTGTGCCTATGCATTTCACAAAATTTCAGATTTTACAAAACGTGTAATTAGCAAATTTTTGCAAACATTAACAAACGTTCTCTACTTCCATATTACGTTTCATGCAAGAAAGCAAACTAAAGAAGTGAACCAAAGTCAACAGGTAACTCGGACAAAGAGCTCGGCAGAAACAGCTGAATATATTTTTCAAGGACAATCCTAACGCTACAATAGACCAACTGAAGCACAGAAGCAAAAACTTTTTTTCTCGATATGGACTGATCGCAGCGCTTGAACCCTTACTGATATTTATGGAGCTACATTCCTGTCATCTTAAAAGTTCCAAGGCAATATGATAAATATTACAGTGCGATAAGGAAAAAACTCTGGTTTAAGTGGTCTTCCTATCCTAAATATGCACTGCCAAATTATTCCCTCGCTGCAAAGGAAACTAGCAATCTCCACACATGCAAGAACTCAGAAGACGGAGAAACAAAACGCAATATCTACCCAACTTCTAGTGAATATTCACTGAAAAGTAGAAAATGTACTGCAGAAGGAAGATCAAATAAGGTAAGTTGGATTGTGAAATCCACTACTCCACTGAGAAATAAACAGCTTCAAATCAAAGAATTAACCTTGGCTCTAAAATGTACTTCAGAGCCTATGTAAAAATATCATGCCCTCTTTTTAAATCGACCTCACAAAAACCAAACATCTAAAAACTCTCCTGGTGCTCGATTGAATCGCACAAATCTTGAGAGACTTCAATACCCAAGTTTCGATATTTGTAACTATTTTGACAGTATTCTCAAACGAACACTATAGGAAGCTGGTCACGAATTCATTTGCGTTAGAAATAGAAGCGCGCATGCTTGGGCATGGGAATCTCATGGATAAGGTACCCCCTAATCCGCATTCAATCAAGCACTCATTCATCTCAATTGAATATGACTCGTTTTAGTGACTTGGAAATCAATGATGGTATCCACTACGATGCTCTTAAATATGTTAATTCGATCGTAGCATTGGTAACGCACCGTAGGAGTTTGCCTTAAAGATGTCCAGAAACAGAATCCAGCGCTCCCATGCCACGGCTTCGACTGGCAACGGCCATGGGCGTGGGCGACGTTGGAAAAATTCTAAGCTGATCTGTGCGCCCAGAAGAGGAACTGAAATGATGGGAAAGATGAGAAAACAACGCTTTGTAACGTTTCAAAGAACTCGAACAGCCGTGCCGGAAATGTTCGAAAAACAGAGCACAGATGACTTTAGAAGAAAGGATGCCATATGATTTGATACTTTGAAAACATTTCAAAAAACTACCGAGAAACCAATAAACTGCGTGTTTTAGTTCTCTATTCACACTCTTTGAGAAAAAAAGTATGTGTATTTTGTTTTGTGGGTTAAAATTTTTACTACAGATAACAAGATGATAACACAAGAGCAAATATCATGTTTACTACAAAATGTACAGCGAGAAACACGAAAGAGGCCTCAAAAATAATTCAGAGTTCGAGTATGTAACAAACGCCCTGGACATGGATTCCCCAAAATACGAATTGTGATGATAATGAGATGAACTACGATTTCCAATGGACTAAGTTTATCATAAAGTACGTATAACATGAGAAACTGTGAAAGTCTTGCAAATCAGAAACTTGGAAAATCCTGTGGCAACTGAACAGCGAAGCTCGAAAAAAAACCTGATTCCTTTTAACTTAACTCGCCCTTATTTTTCGTTTTCCTCTTCGGACACGGACTCATTAGTAATGTTGAAATAACATAATATCGACATATTTGGTTTTAAAACTCACCGTTGAATAGGTCTAAGTTCGATAAAGAAGAATATTTTGTAAGCAAAAATATAATGATTTTCAAAGCAAGTGCTATAGATTGTGTAATTTTGACTACGACCACAACATAGAAAGCTCCGGCACGGAATGAGTATGTACGGGACCCTTATAATAGTAAAATCTGTATATTATTATTTTATTGGAAATCGAATTCACATTTGATCGAAATCATCGTGTGATCTGATGCTTTTCAATGATGATGCATTATGGTTTTCGTGCATGCACGGCTAGAAACGACCGTAATCTATTCCATCTATTTTAAATATTAACAAGGATTGCTCAACAGTAAAATGATGTGAAACTTAGAAATGTCCCAAAAAACGATACGCCACAACAACTTTAGTTACCAGTTTTATGCGCATCCAGAATGGATATTGGTCTAGTAATGCAAAAGAACTATTTTGTCGCTCCTGACTGACGTTCACTAACTCATTCCGTGGAGATAGATGTGAAAAAGATACTGTCATTCAATTACAAAGACATGGACTGATTAGGTAAAACTGCACCCACTTGCAGTTTCAGTTAGCGTCGGGCTACTGAGTGGAGTACGTCTTCGCGGTACGGATGCCTTCACGGTAGTATCTAACTCAGTAAGAAACGCCTGGATCTCCTTTTCTAGCTGATTTGACAATTCATCACTGTTTATTTTGACCTGAAAATTGGATGTATACATCTTAAACTCAAACGCTCATTAGTTCCACCCATGAATGTCCAGGAAAATGTATGAAGAAGTTGCTATGTACACATACTTATGTGAACTGCCTTGCAAGAAAATAGTCTCACTCAACTATTACAGTACTAGTAACGAAGGACATAATTTCCACTAATCATAATTAATGACCCCAAATTGCCCGTGTGACACCATTTTCAGCGCTTGCGGTGCCTGAGGCCCAGATGACGCCTTTTGCAACCTACGCGCACAACCCGAGGGCGCTTTTCCGGAAGAACATTTTACGCAGGAGCAGTTCCAAGCAAAGAATCGAAACATATTCGCAGCTAGAATACTGAAAGGGCTCGTATTTCTCATTTTTCGTTGATTTCCACAATGAAGTTATACCCCTGTTATGGCGTGCTAAGAACGAGTGCGAAGTCTATGATTGTCATCGTGCAGACAGCGTAAATACTTCATCTAGCCCCTGAGACCGTAATGTTTGCATAGCCCAAGAATTTCAACAATATTATTGCTTTTGTTAACCGGAACCACTGTCATCATTTGGGTCTCTTCGACTGTAAGACCGGTGGGCTTCCCAAAGGAAATCATGACTTCACTCAGGATATGAATTACTTACATGCCCATGGAAAACCCACTTACCAAATTGGATGCATTTCACATTTGACTGGTTACGCACCAATGGGCTTGTAAACAAGACACTTTCACATTCTCTATACAAGAGAGGAAAATTGCTTCGTCACATGGGATCTGCTCGGGAAGTTATTATTTGAGGCAGAGGGCGTGTCCCCTACGTTACTTGGGAATGAACTCAGTCCAATTTATAGCCTAACACACCACGAACCACATATTCAGCAGGAAGCCTCAAACATCTAAGAGTGAATTTAGCCAGCCCTAGCAAATCCCAACGTCCATTTCTTCGTTCTTTTCGAGAAAAAACCTGACGACGAGGCAGCTTTTTCAGCGGCCTTGAGACCCCCTGCGACTGCGTATTGGAAAAAAGTGCGCTGTGCGCTCATCAAGTTCTCGCGACCTTTGCCACACTCACGTGCAGCTCACGCGGTGGACGCAGTCAACGGGCTGATCAGCTGACACAACAAGGGCTGCAGTGTCTCGCTAAGGCATACACTCTCTCATCACAAATAGGGCTGCACCACCTGGCAATTTGCTAAAATCGGACGACGATCATAAGTAAGAACCGTACACCTGAGCGACCAGCAGTAGAGAACAGCACAATTCATCACAAGATCACAACACAACACAACAAAGGAAAACAGAATTGAAGCATGAAGAACACTTACGTAGGTCAGATCAATGTTTTCACATTCGACTTCTTTGATGCCAAGCGACCCTAACGAGTAGTTTGAATCGCCCTTGTACTGGAACTGAAAAAAAAAGAAAATCGTTACTGCCTCGCTGCACGCCCTGCGGAACATCGATATGTGAATAAGAAAGCTACTGTCGCTGCTCTCGCCTCGCTGCTTTAGAGGACAAACATCGACTCACAAGGGGGAAATGAGGGCCAATACTTTCGAAGCCAAGCGATTTTCGTGGTACAATTCGTATGGGAACATTCCCACCATGTAAATGGTCTCCGCTCTTACGGTTCTGGCTGATTCACCTTGTTAAGGCATAGAAAAAACCTCCCCGGGTGTCCCTACCAACCCTGGTAGAATTTCAATCCAAGATTGGACCTCCTGATCATTTGCTAATCTACTCTCGCCATTTCAAAAATTTTCATAAAACTTGTTCCTCCCAAGTATCCTTGAACTAAAGGGACTATTTCCCAACTTGAGTCAAATAATTACCTTTGCAACGCTTCTGTGGGCAAGAAGCGAATGGAAAATGCAGGAGACGGCGTCGTTCACTTGGCGAATTTCTAGGCTCTGGAAAAAACAACAATCACTACCGTTCCCATTTGGGAACACTCTTGGTGACCCAGATAGGAGTTTATTATTGAAAAAAATCGAATATAACGAACCAGACGGTACTCCTGCTGGCGGGCATTCATGTAACGATTCTGAGCACTGACTGAGGAGGAGGAATCGCAAGTACAGTCAGAGCGCAGAGAAGCTGGGGTGTCAGAGACGAAGGGTTACGTCGATCGGGTGCGGCAGTGGGGATGGCGGCGGCGGCGGCGGCAGCAGGGCAGCCCGTGGTGTCGCCTGACAACCGGCTGGCACGATGATAGGATCTGCCCTGGGATCTGACATCGTTTTGCTCCATTAGTACGGATAACCGGGGGTGGTGGGAAGGGAGGGAATGGGCAACGCCTATCTAGACAACAGGGCACGTGCTATTTCCCGTTCATGCGGGTTCCCGTCTCCTCATGCGGTCTTCTTTTTGTTGTTTTGATAAAACCGATGCGGCCAGACCACACGTGGTCGCACTTTTCCCAACTTGTGACACTTCCGTTCGAAGACCACATAAGCTTGATGAAGAGGAGTATGTGGGGTAAACAAATCGTGACGAACTCGAGGTATAGCCGGGGGACGAGTTATACCGTAAGGTTAGCCAACGATTCTAGGAATAGACTGATTAGACGAAAATGGCATTCTGTGCGGGGTTCCCGTGGGTGACAAATCGCTAGTGTTTCGTGCCCCATATTGACAATTGGGCCTCGAACATTGAGCTCATAGTACGAACACTCCGAAAAAAAAAATGGAAAGTGTGATTTCTCCCAGCTGATCGAAGCCTCTATTCTGATGGCACTCAAGATAATCTAAGTTGTTCAGAGTGCGCCGTGTCCATTTAAGAAACTTGAATCGACCAGGGAAAGGTCAGCCTTAGTGGCTCGGTGTTTTGTGGGGTGGGGTTCGGTTTTGTAGTGGGGTTCGGTTTTGTATATTATGTGGTGAAGCATTAATTACTGTAACAAATATGAAAGCGATAAAGTTCTAGGCATCAACCAGTTTAGGATACGCCCCGATTCGACCTCCATTCAGAATCGTAATACGTTGGAATGCGTATATGCCCTATACAATGGTTCGCGGTGGACAGCCAACGTACAAGTCAGTGCTTTTATCCTCCCAAACGAGCCTAGTAACAACTAACCGAACCCAGAGGAGTAGAAGTCTGGGTGGTCGGGCGAGTACGAATCATGCCTTTGTGATAGTGCGCCACATGCCACTACACCAACTCCTCCGCGATTCTAAAACTAAAGCGATTAAAACTAGTTCGATTTCGCTCCAAACTTCAATGAGCATGAAAAAGTTCGGTCTAGAATCGCAATTCATCTCAATACTTTCGGAGTCAAGAGGGCGATTTTACCGAAACATCACCGAATGGAGCTATCTACCATGCTTGTGAAAAGTCCGTCAAGTTACAGCGCAGTTACAGCGACACTCACATTGAGTTGCGCTGTTCTTCTTCGGTATTCGATTGTAAAGCGGGCGTTCGTGGCATATTGATAAGGGGGGCTTTTTTGGCAATCTAAATTATGGCGCAGGTGGTAATATCGGTGACACACTCGGTCGCACCTATTGATGAAACGAGTCGTTCATGGTACCATTCATGGCAGAACATTCTCTTGCAATACCTTCTTGCGTGGGAACACGCACCCACTTGGGGCTTGGGGTTAATAGCGAAATCGAACGCTGGATAAAGACATTTCAATGGTGTACCTACCATCAGATTAGGATTTGCAGGTGCATCTTGTTATGTTCATAGCCTCAATGGAAGAGTCAAGGGCATACAAAAGTAAGCAGTAAGTAAGTAAGTAAAAAAGTAGCTCTAGTGGCTAGAAATGTTCGGAAAAGGTTCTTCTAAACTGATTACACATTACTTATTTACTAACCACCTAAAAGGGAGTTTTCTTCTCAATACGATTCAGACTTGAAGACTTCAAAGCTCATGGTGCCTGTTCAATACGTGCCATGCAGAGCTTTCTGCAGCTGTTCTGTTTTCAGTCCCCTTTGCAAAATCCATTTCAGCAGCTCCTGCACAGGGAGAATCATCGAAACGGTAGGCTAGTCATGATCAATTGTATCAGGAGGTGATGTTGCGGTGAAAAGTGCAAGGTTGATCCATTAAATCAATCGTCAATTTTGGAATAGCAGCAATATTAAAGGCACAGTTCACGATAATTTTGAGGTACCCATTTTAGATAGAAAAGAGGAAGTGTGGATGTGGAGGAGTACATCGGTGGCGAAGAAAGCGGAATATCCGCCTGCTCCAAGGCTTTTTAATAGTGGAAGTGGGGTTGTGCGAGATCACCGTGACGGTAATGGCATGTATGGGGTGTTCGGACGAGATTTAACTTGCTCCCATTGCTAAAAGAGATAACTACATCAAGCCGAAATTGTCCGAGACTGCCCTTCACTCTCGCCATGGGCAATGAGAAGTTGTTTGAACTTTTACATGGGAGTCTCTTGAGATAATGCAGCCTGTACAAAGCCGTTGAAACTCGTCCACGATGGGTGTGGCATTCACACGATACAA